AGGGATTTCTCTCTCCCCTTCTTTGTGAGTTTTGCTAGAGGCTTATCGATCTTGTTAATTTTCTCAAAGAACCAGCTCTTGGATTCATTGATCTTTCGGATTGTTTTTTGGGTTTCCATCTCGTGAATCTCTGCTCTAAGTTATATTATTTCCTTCCTCCTGTTCCGGTTGTGCTCCTTTTGTTCGTCCTTCTCCAAGCTCTTAAGCTGTGAGGTTAGTTTATTTTGTGGGCTCGCTCCTCCTTTCTGAGGAATGATTGTAGAGCTATAAACTTTCCTCTTAAGACAGCTTTTGCTGTGTCCCATATGTTTTGGTAACTCGTGTCCTCATTTTCATTCGTTTCTAGGAATCTTTTGATTTCCTCTTTGATTTCCATTCTAAGCCACTCGTTCTTCAATAGCGCACTGTTTAATTTCCAGGTGTTTGATTTAGTTTTCTGTTTTTGTGTGTGATTTACTTCTAATTTAAGTGCATTATGGTCTGTGAAGATTGTTGATACAATCTCTATCTTCTTAATTTTATGGAGGTATGTTTTTTTCCTCAGCATGTGTCTATCTTGGAGAATGTTCCATGTACCCTTGAGAAGAATGTGTATTCAGCCTTTTGAGGATGAAGTGTCCTGTATATATCTACTAAGTCCCTTTCTTCCATTGTTTCCCTCAGATTAAGTATGTCCTTGCTAAGTTTGAGTCTGGTTGATCTATCCAGAGGTGACAAAGCGCTGTTGAAGTCTCCCACTAGTATTGTATTGCTATTGATGTCTTTTTCCAAATCTATGAGTAGTTGTTTTAAGTACTTTGCTGGTCTCTCATTAGGTGCATATACATTTATTATTGTAAGTTCTTCGTGTTGTACAGATCCTTTGATCACTAAGAAATGGCCTTCACTGTCTCTTATGACCTTCTCACTCTGAAATCGATGTGGTCTGATATTAAGGTGGCTACCCCAGCTTTTCTATGGGAGCTCTTTGCCTGTAGGATTGTTTTCCAGCCTTTGACTCTGAGTCTGTGTTTGCTTTGACTATTAAGGTGTGTTTCTTGCAGGCAGCAGAATGTTGGGTTCAATTTTCTAATCCATCCTGCCACTCTGTGTCTTTTAATTGGTCCGTTTAGCCCATTGACATTGAGAGAGATTATTGTTATGGAATTTTGTCCCATTGTTCTGTTGAAATTAGGTGTATTTGAGGGGCCTGTCCTGTCTTAAAGTAGCCCATTTAGTTGTACTTGTAACCATGGTCTTGAGTCTATGAAGTTCCTGAGCTGTTGTTTGGCTGTGAAACTGTGTGTTGTTCCTTCTATTATGAATGAGAGTCTCGCTGGGTAAAGTATTTTTGGAGAGGCATTTATTTCATTGAGTTTTCTCACTATGTCTCACCACTGTTTTCGGGCCATGAGGGTTTCATCAGAAAAATCGACTGTGAATTTTAAGGATGCTCCTTTGTAAGAGATTTATTTCTTCGATCTTGCTGCTTTCAGAATTTTGTCTCTGTCTAAAGTTTTGGTCATTTTGATCAGGATGTGTCTTGGGGTATTTTTGTTCAGATTTCTTCTAGCTGGTACCCTTCGGGCCTCCTGAATGTGGTCACAAGTTTTCTTCAGCTCTGGAAATGTTGTAGCAATGATGTCTTTGACAGTTTCTTCTTCATCAGGGTTTTCTTCCTGTCCCTCTGGGACTCCAATAATTCTTATGTTACCCCTCTTGGCTTCATCACGATCTTCTCTTGCTATCTGTTCCCGAACTGTGAGTCTCTTTTCCATTTTCTGCTCTTTTCTGGCGAGTCTCTGAACTTCATCTTCAAGCTCACTGATTCTGTTCTCAGCAGCTGTTACTCTGCTTCTGAGGCCTTCCACTGAGGTTTTCAATTCGCCTACCAGGGTTTTCAGGTCCGACATTTCCGATTGCATTTTTCTCATTTCTGCCTTCAAATCCTCTTGTCTTTTATTGGCATTGCTTTCCATTGTTTCTTTTAGTTACCTAAGCATCCTTAGTAGCTCCCTTCAGAATTCCTTGTCAGAGAGGTTGTCTAATACTACAATACTGTTGGTGTCTTCTGGGCTTGCCTCTTCAATAAGAAAGTTTGGTGGGCTTTTGCATCGCTTTACCATTGTGACCAGTGTGCTTAAGTCCTTCACATTCACTGTTACTATTCTGGTTGAGTGAGGAGAGAGTTCCTGGATCCCTTCAGCTTTGTTGCCACGGGATCTGATGTTGCCTCAGTTCCCTTCCTGCGTAGGTCAAGGGAGAAAACCGGCAATTCTAGGGGATCAAGCTAGCTGCGCATTCCCTGGGGGAGTCTCAAGCCGTGGGGCAGGCTGTACCTGGTATTATTCATCTTTTCTTACATACTAAGTGAAATGAGTCAGAAATAAAAGGACAGACATAGAAAGATTGCATTCATCTGAGGAGCATAAAGTAACAAAATAGGAGACTAACACCTAAGAATAGTTGAGATAAGTACCAGTAGGTTTACTCCATGGCTTGGAGGCCAGCTGCACATGCTAGGGGAAAAGACAGCTCAGATAGAGAAGGGAACACCAAATAAAGGGTGTTTGGAGGATCCTACCAGGATGGGAGATGCATGCTGAAAGTAGACTATAGACCAGACATGATTGCCACTCAATGCCTCTTTTGCAAACCACAGCACCCAAAAGGAGAGAGTGAACAAAATGGAATGCCCTGCCACAGAGGTGGGGTGGGATGGGGGAGTGGGGTTGTGGGAGGGATACTGGGATCAGTGGTGGTGGAGAATGGGCACTGCTGAAGGCATGGATACTCGATCATTGTATAACCAAAACCCAAGCACAAAAATTTGTAAGTCTACAACTGTACCTCATGGTGTTTCCCTAATAAAAAATTTTTAAAAAAGAATAGTGATTACATATTTGGTCTTCTCAGCTTCTATAATTGCAAGATTCTTCTAATATATATTTTCTGTCTCTCAATATCTATCTTTAACCTCCCTATCTTCATCATCATCCAAAATTCTAAAAAAAATCTTCAACATCTGCATACACGTATGTATGCATTACTCTTAGTACTATGGATATATTGAGATAGTACTGATTTGCAAAATTATTATTATAATTAAAATCTTCCTGGATGTTTTTTGTAAAACTAGAAAAGCTATAGGCTACCCCATCGGAGAGCCCAGCATGCTTCCTAGAGTATCTCACCCATATGGCAGAGCCTGGCAAGCTACCTGTGATGTATTCGATATGCCAAACACAGTAACAAGTGTCACGATAGAGACGTTACTGGGTCCGCTCGAGGAAATCAATGAACGGGAGTGACAGTAACAGTGATAGTGACAGAGAAATGTGAACATTAGTTAGATTATTTTTATTCGCATGTTAATATCCATAGAACATAGAATATATGTTAACCATTTTGTATATACTGTGACTTGTGCAAATTCAGTAATGGAGAAATGTCTATTAAATGAATAAATCAATTAAATAATACTTTAATAAGCTCTGACATAGTGGAAAAAAATCTGGGACTTTGATACTTGGGAGACATAATTCAGCTTTTTGGGCAATCTGCTCTCAGTGAAGAAACTAGCAACTTTAATTCGATCACAAAGTAACCAGTATTTCACAGGCTGATCTTTAAAAAAAAAAACAAATGACCAAAAGGCACATTAAAACATGCTTCACATCACTAGCCATCAGGAAAATGCAAATCAAAACAAGAATGAGTTATCATGTCACATCACAGAGACTGGCACACATTCAAAAAAACAAAAGCAACCAGTGCTGGCGTGGATGTGGGGGGAAAAGGAACACTCTTTCACTGTTGGTGGGAATGCCCACTAGTCCAGCCTTTCTGGAAAAAAAATATGACAGTCCTTCAAATACTAGAAATTGAGCTTCCATATGACCCCGCAATACCACTTCTGGGAGTATATCTGAGGATGCAAAAAAGCACAGTAGAAATGACATCTGTACCGATATGTTCATTGCAGCACTGTTCACAATAGCCAAAATCTGGAAACAACCCAAGTACCCTAGAATAGATGACTGGTTAAAGAAACTTTGGTACATCTACACAGTGGAAAATGATGCAGCTGTTAGGAGAGATGAAGTGATTGTATTTGCTTATAAATGGAGAGTATCATGCTAACTGAAATGAGTCAGAAAGACAGGGACAGACAGAGAAGGATCTCACTCATTTGTGGAGTATAAAAAACATAACATGAGGGTGACTCCTAAGGATAGTAGATATTCGGGACAGGTAGATTGCTCCATAGCTGGAAGCCTGCCTCTTGAGCAAAGGGGAGAAGGCAGCTGAAATAGAGAAGGGATCGCTAAGTAAATGATGGCTTGAGGAACTGATCAGGATGGGAGTTGTGTGCTGAAAGTAGATAAAGGACCAAACATGATAACCTCTCAGTATCTATATTGCAAACAATAATGCCCAAAAGTAAAGAGAGATTATGGGGAATATTGTCTGCCTTGGAGGCAGGTGGAGGGTGGTAAAGGGGGGGTATACCGGGGATAATGGTGGTGTGGAATGTGCACTGGTGGAGGGAAGAGTGTTTGGTCATTGTGTGACTGTAACCCAAACATGGAAGTTTGTAAATATCTCATGGTGATTCAATAAATTTTTTTAAAGTGTATTATCCACTCAGGTATTTAATTAAATATTTACTCTTCAATACTAATTTCAGGAAGAGCTTCTGAATATGTAAAATTATATGTTATGGTATTATATTATAATATGGATAATTAAATTAATACATACACTGATAGTATAAATGATTAATAAAACAAAACCTACATATTATTTAGGTTTATGATTTCTCATACACAAACACTGTGGGTGAGGTGAAGTACTACACATACATAACGAAATGTATGAATATAAAATCTATCATTTTTTTTCACTTGCACACTTGTGTGGGGATTTAATTCCATGTTTTGTTTGTTCATTTGATTCTAATGTTGAAATAAATTAATGATCTTCTCTTTTGTGTGAATTTTTGTTTTTATCCCTTTCAGATTCCTACAGCAAAATTTTGTAAGAAAAGAAATTAATCACATCGGATACAATATGGGTAGTTTGATTGTAGTCTAGGGTCAAATTAATGGGTATGTACATCTATCAGCAAAATAAATCAACATTTAGAAAGTACGTTTATGATCTCAAAAGAGATATAGCAGTGATAAAGAAAAAAATGCTTCCCAATGAAAATAGAAAATTTCTTCTCTATCAAGGTTAAGATTAAAATCCTATGAGCCAATGTTCTATTTGTACTATCTTTAGGTCTGGCGCTACAGAAGTCAAGTTGGCCTTTCAATTTGATTAAAATCTGCCATAAGTTTTTAAGTTTTGCAGTATGTATGCATCATTTACATATAAGGACAGCGAATGTATGACTAAATTTCGAGAAATATTAGACCATGGTAAGAAGTTTGTCATAAGTTGGGGGGGGGGCGGGAAAAGTGCAGTTTGGACAGAAAATAGAACACTGTGACAATGATAGTTGGAAGTGATCACTCTGGACAAGAACTGAACGCTGAAAATAGGTAAAGGGACATGCATGGTAACATTCAAGATCTGTTTTCCAAAACGCAATGCAGGGACAGGGACGGGGAGAGGGAGGGAAGCAGAGAAAGAGAAAAAACAGATGGAAAAGGGGAAATGGGGCGGGGAGGGAGAGAGGGAGGGTGGTGGGAGGGAAACTGGGAACTTCCGTGGTAGGAAATGTACACTGGTGAAGGCACAGATGCTGGAACATTGTACGACTGAAACCCAGTCATGACCAACGTTGTAATTGTATCTTATGGTGATTCAATACAAAAAAATGTTAGAGAATTGGGTAACATTAACTGGCAGGTCAAGAGGGTAATATTGTAAACACCTCCAGATTCAGAAGATTCCAGGAATGCCTTATCTCCAGTAGATAACTTTACCGGATGAAACTGCATGCAGCGCCATCCGTTGAGAGTAGTGAGAGCCTTCTCCACCCCAAGGGACCCAGTCCCGGCAGCCGACCTCCACTGCCCAACCACTGCCAAGCTCAAGCTGCTTTCTGGACTGCTCAGCAGACAGATTATAAAACACTTCCTACCCATTTTTGCCTCTCGGAGAGCCCGGCAAGCTACCGAGAGTATCCTGTCCACACGGGCAAAGCCTGGCAAGCTCTCCGTGGCATATTCAATATGCCAAGTACAGTAACTAAAATAGGTCTCATTCCCCTGAACCTGAAAGAGCCTTCAATCGTTGGGAAAAGACGGTTAAGAAGAGGCTTCTAAAATCTCAGGGCTAGGGGCTGAGCAGTAGCACAACGGGTAGGGCGTTTGGCTTGCATGCGGCCGACCTGGATTCGATTCCCAGCTTCCCATATGGTCCCCCAAACACCGCCAGGAGTGATTCATAAGTGCATGAGCCAGGAGTAACCCCTGAGCATTGCCGAGTGTGATCCAAAAATAAAATAAAATAAAATAAAATAGTAAGTAAAGTAAGTAAAGGCCCTCCCGTTGATCATCGATTTGCTCGAGCGGGCCCAGTAACGTCTCCAATGGAGACTTTGTTGTTACTGTGTTTGGCATATGGAATACATCACGGGGAGCTTGCCAGGCTCTGCCGTGCGGGCGAGATACTCTCGGCAGCTTGCCAGGCTCTCTGAGAGGGGCGGAGGAATCGAACTCGGGTCGGCCATGTTGGCTGCGTGCAAGGCAAATGCCCTACCGCTGTGCTATCGCTCCAACATAAAATAAAATAAAATAAAATAACAGGGCTGGGAGGAATATAGACGTTACTGGCGCCCTCTTGAGTAATTCAACTACCAATGAGATGATAGTGATAGTGATAATGATTAATTGTCATAACGACCATCTCTGAATGCAACAGCTATGTGTACCTAGGTCGAGAGGTCAACATGACAAATGACCTGGCACCCGAGCTGCGCAGGAGGAAGAGAGCGGCTTGGAACGCCTTCAAGAACGTCGAAGAAATAGCTAAGAGGACGAAGAACCTCCGGCTCCGGGCACATGTCTTTGATTCCACTGTTCTTCCTGCATTAACATATGCCTCAGAGACCTGGGCCCTACGCAAACAAGATGAGAACGCTATTCAGGTCTCCCAAAGAAGAATAGAAAGACCTATGCTTGGAATATCACGTTTCACTCAAATGAGAGAAAGAATCCGGAGTTCTGACATCCATCGGCGATGAAGAATCAGGGACGCTGTCTCATTTGCCAAGGTGTCGGAAATCAGATGGGCTGGTCACGTAATGAGATTTAAAGACGACCGCTGGACTAGAGCTGTTACCGACTGGATTCCACGGGATGTCAAAAGACCGCGTGGCCGCCCACCTACCAGATGGTCAGACTTCTTCGTCAAGATCATGAATGATTGGTTTGAGGCCCTTCATGTTCCCGGAGCGAACAGATACCATTGGGCTACACTAGCACGCGACAGGGACAAATGGAGACGTTACTGGCGCCCGCTCGAGCAAATCAACGACTAACGGGAAGTTAAGTGAAAAATAAATAAAATTGTTTTATTTTCCATGATTGAAGAAATACAACAAATAAATTGAGTATTATTGATTCCTTGTTTTTTCTCCTCTCCTGTTTATGGAGACAGTAGTTAGGTCTGGAAATGAGGTTTCATATATATCGCCAAAATTTCCACAAAAAAATCTTCTGGTTTGTGGAAAGTCTAAACTCACTGAAAAATTTAATTGGAGAATGAGAGGTGGGAGGGATACTGGGATCCGTGATGGTGGGAAATGGGCACTGGTGGAGGGATGGGTATTTTATCATTGTATAATTGAAACCCAAGCACAAAAATTTGTAAGTCTACAACTGTACCTCATGGTGTCTCACTAATAAAATTTTTTTTAAAAAATTAATTGAACTAATAGATTCTCAGATGAGAACTCTTAAAGCTATAATGAAGAAGCATCAAAATAAAGAGAGAAAATCAGGCAGGAGGGAGTTATTTTTTCAAGAAAACTTGATATTTGGGCTGTGTGTGTTTGTGTGTGTGTGTGTTTAAAGACAGATAGTTTATCTAAGGAAGCAAAATCTGAGACCCATTATTTGTTAAATTTTCTATGTCCAGTATCACAGAGAAGTTACCGAGTCTCCCAAATTTAAATGAACAATGTGAGCTTATCATTAGTGATTAATATAAATCTATCAAGTACATTTTTGCAACTTTTGCTCTAGGTAAGAGTCTTGAGATACTCAATAACAGAGATATTTCATTTATCATGGATCCAGTAAGATGGGAGCTTAGTGTATCACTTGATTAAATTTAAAATTTAAAGTACTTTTCCAGGATATGAAAAAATGTGCAGAAAAATTCACTTTAATATTTTTATTAAAACTGTTATATGGTAGGAATTTTTTATATATGTTACATATTTTACAATAATAAATGTCAGTTCAGATTAGGGGAACAAGTATATAAGAGTGTTCTATGGGGTTAAACTCACTTCCATAAATATTTTTGACTGTATTCAAAATTTTAAGGATTGAGCCTACTCTCTAAATAGGCATTTCTGTGATGAATTTTTTTTACATAACTTTTTAGGTGTGTCTATGCATCTAACTGGAACTAGCTTAAACCTATTATTAGTCATCTTTAAATGTATTTCTAATGGCTTTAACCACCATTCATCACGAAGAAAATTCTTTGCTTGCAAGTTTACATTTATCTTTCTACTGAATTGATAAAGAAAACTGAGGCTACAAAGCAATACACTGCCTGGAATTGATTTTTCCGTCATATTCTAATTGGAAAAAATTTACAGATAAGCAGTAACTCTTTTCATTTCATTTAAGCACAATATTATGATAGAGTCTCAGAAAAGGAAATTTCTCAAAAGAAAATCCATTTTTAAACCAAGAAAGAAATCATTACAATTTTGGACACTAGAACAAAAATGAAAGTAAATTAAAATGAACATAAAGATTCTTATGTATTTCTGCTATGGTTTCATGTTTATTGGAACATTTCTTGACGATGATGTTTTTAGGGGCCAGATAGATAATACGGTGGGTAGACTACTTGCCTTGCACAAACCAGATCTGGTTTCTATCCATGGCACACACTTTGGACCCCCAAGTCCACCCCTTGTGCATAGATTTAACAGTAAGCTTTGAGCACATCTGAGTGTGGCACAAACAACAAAGAAAATATTTGTCAAGGTATCATTAATAAATATTAAGGGGTCAAAGGAGCCAAAGTTTTATTAAATAACTTGCAAAACACTCTAATCTAGTTATCATACTTTGTTTATGTGAAGATGGCAATATATAACTCATGAAACAAAATATATCATGCAAATAAGATAATTATAACTGTGTCTGATATCTAGTCAGTGGTCAATAAATATTAGAAGTCATCATCATTATTTTTCTTCTGTACTAACAATACTACATTTACTTTTATTAGGAATCATACCAAGGGTATACCCTTGGTTTTCTGTTTGTTTTGATACCATAGTCAATGGTGTTAAGGAATAACTCCTGGTTCTGTGCTCAGGGATCATTCTTGGTAGTACTCAGGGAACCAAACGCTAGGTGTCATGTGCAGCAGAATTCAAGACAAGTATCTTATCTCTTTATTGTCCCCAGCACTTTCTAGGTAAGTGTTTTCAAAAGTGATAAAAAGGATCATGGTAGGTTCCCTACATGCCCATGTCATTTATAACTGGGCAAAGCAGTATCAGGAATGCTCGTAGGAAAGTGCTAAAAATCTTGTCTATATAGCTACACATTTCAATAGAACAATTTACAATTGGGTTTTGGCACTTTTATAGAGACAATAATAGAATGAAAATATTTACCCCAATACTTTGTGAATAGTTTAGTGATGCTGAACAAATTTTCTTGTATGTACTTCGTGATGTTTTCTTCTTGTCAATTCCTTCCTTCCTTCCTTCTTTCCTTCCTTCCTTCCTTCCTTCCTTCCTTCCTTCCTTCCTTCCTTCCTTCCTTCTTTCCTTCCCTCCTTCCCTTCCTTCCTTCCTTCCTTCCTTCCTTCCTTCCTTCCTTCCTTCCTTCC